TTCCTTCTTCCTTCTTCCTTCTTCCTTCTTCCTTCTTCCTTTCTTCTTTTTCCTTCCCTCTCCCTCTCACTCAACATCTAATTTTTTAATATTCCCATTCCTTTCCAGTTGTATCAGGTCAGGCCACTGTCACCCAAGAGGACCAATTTCTTTCCATCAAGGAAGGAGAATCCATCCGGATGAACTGCTCCTATACGGAAACAGGATACAGTCTTCAGTGGTACAGGCAATATCCAGGGGGCCAGCCAGAGTTCATGATCTTACTGACAAGCTCAATGACTCAAGAAAAGGATGATTTTAAAATGAGTCTGGACACAGACCAGAAGACCACCTCTTTGTATCTGAAGAGACACCCGGCTGAATGATTCAGCTGTCTATTTCTGTGCATGGAGCACAGTGGTACAAAGACACATCCTGGCTGTCACCAAAGGTGGAGAGCAACCCAGGAGGAGAACTGGAGCCATCTACTGGTGACCCTCTGAAAGAAAGATCAGGAGAAACTCCTCAGCCACAGCATCACAATCAAAGATCAGCTGACATTTCAGCTTTTACATTTTCTCCGCTTCTTGCTGGACATGTTAGTGATCTGCAAGTTTGCACAGAAAGTCGAAGACTTGGGTACTGTCCAAAAGATCCTGGGAATGAACTGAATGATTCCTATGATTTTGTCTTCTTGGTGTCCAATGGCAGGAGAAAGGGGACCAGAAACCTCTAGAAGTCAGCAATGAATGATCTGATTCCACTATCGCCTGTCAGTTCAATTCCAGCACTGTCTGTGCCATTCACTGCTGCAGGCAACATGCAGGAGAAGGACCAATGTTTCTCCTAATGGTTACATCGATGGAATCCCAGAAACTGCACTGCACTGAAGGAAGAAGAAGAAGAAGCAGAGTCACTTCAGCATCACAAAAGTGCAGTTGAAAGATGCCATTGCCTATTTCTGCAGCCCAGATGTTCACAGCAACACAGAGGCACTTTTGGACTGTCCAGAAACCCTCCAAGGCTGACTCCTTCTCCAAAAAGGAAAGAATCCCAGTTGCATAATGGGGATGCTGTCAGCCGCAGACCCAGACCAAGAGAGAAACAGTCCACCAAGTTCAGTTTTTTATTGCTTACACCTATAGATGGAATGTTGCCTGACTAAATCTGTACTACGTTAACCCTATAGATACACCTGGGAGATTTTAGGGACTGGCTACCTTCAGTCTCTTCTTCTTCCCACACTCCTGCTCTGGACTGTGTTGCCTCTGGGCTCCCCCCTTTCCCTCCTGCATTGTGCTCCCTCCTTCCTGAGAACATGGATCTGTATACTGCATTCCATCCCAGATGCAGAGTTGGAGCAGCTGACCCAAAGCAAGCTACAGTTGGGCAAAAGCTGCATTGATATCAGATGAAAAATGAAAAAAAAAGAAGCTTCCAATGTTCGAGGTGTTGCAAGGGGGAAGAAAATGGGAAATACCCGAGATGGACATTCCCACCACTTGCCAGGCACAACTACTTTGAATTCGCTGTGGATGAAAATCTTCAATACCTCCTCATTTGCCAAAACAAAATTTGGGCATGGGGTGGCCTACAAATAGAGGGCTTGGCAACTGTTGGGGGGTGAGGATGGTATTTTGGGAAGAGGACAGTCACATCAGGCAGGGTGGGATGCAAAATGGGGGAGTCGTGTGATATATTGGTAGGGCTGGGATTGTCTATTTTTTCTTTATCTTTTGGAGTGCGTGCAGGAATGCAACATGCCACCTTGTCCACAGTCCCGATGCCTCAGAGGCCCCCTCAAGATGACCAACCCACATAGGTTCTCTTCTGGCACAGCAGTCTCTGATGCAACCTTATGTTCTACAGTAACCTATGGATTGTCCTCCACTGGGTCATGTCTATGCTGTTTTTGTACATGGCTTAGAGTTTTCTGAAAGCGAGGAGATTTATAACTCTTCTAAAGGAATCAGCCCAGGCATCTTACAGCTGTCTGTTCAGTTTCACTGCCCCTAGGCAATTTCACCGCCTCAGGCAGCGGAAAAGAGAAAGCCAGACACACCCCACATTAATTGCCAACAGGAGGCTGCGATTAGCTCAGGGCAGGAGCGGATATCACAGCTGGCTTCCCTCAAGCGCTCCAGGCAAAGCAAACCGCAGCACAGCGATCAGCGCGAGAGTAAGAACTTCTGGCTTAGCCTGCAGAAGAAAAGCCCAACGAACGCAACAACCCCATAGACGAAGGACAGCAATCAAGGGGGACAAGGAAATGGGCTGAATCTGCCATTTGGGCGAGGGGGAGAATAGGGCGGGCAATCAGTAACCCAGGCAACGGGGAGAAGCGCGGGAACAGGGAACCTATCCAACGCTTTGTAATCTGTGCCAAGCCAACCCTGGCTTTGTTTGTATCTACCCGCACTACACCCGAGTAAACATTTTTGGCTGAACCTGTGTTTTGCGAGGGTTTGATTCGGCGCTGAATGTGGAAACTCTTACAAGAGCATGGGTCAACAAAAGACAGGTGATGTTCCCCAAACCTCTAACGTAACTTGCTTCTGTTGATTCCTGCTCAAGGTGAGTTGGGCTACCGCTTAATTCTCCACTACCATGCTAGAGCTAAGCCACATGAGAACGATGGACTCTGCAGATCGCGATTAGCAATGCCTAAAAATTGATCTACACATCCCAAGGGAAATTGTTTTAAATGCTATGCTCCTGTTAAACCATCCTGGGCATTGTAAGTCAAGAAGTTTGTGGAGTATATTCTGTGGGGGATGTTGGACAGCACTCTTCCCCAGAAGACGATTGATGGATGCTCAGTTTTAGAAAAGTGGAACCATTGAGCAGGTAGTGATTTCCTAAAAGTAACATTACCTTCTTCTTGAATTGGACTCTGTGTGACATAGACGAGATTTCCCTTCTCCCAGGAGGTTTGTTAAAATCCTCCAGTTAAACCTACAGCCCCCAAATTTCCACGTAGTTGCATCCACATGGGGATGACCCTGCTTTGGGTTGTAGATTGTCCAAAATTATTTGGTGCTCCCACTCTCTGAAGGAGTTACGCTGTCAGTAGTTCTTCCAAACTACATAACTGTTGCTAGGTTTTCTCGCTAGATGGCACTCATTTTGTTTTTACTCATAGCAGACAAATGCTTCACTTACAGCTGAAAATTTTTTCTCCTGACTTGGTTAACCACAAGGACTTTTCTTTTATCATTAGGCCGAGAAAGCAAAGAGCAGCATTGAGAGTAGAGAAAGTGACTCAATTTGGGGAAGAAGAACCTTCACGGCTGCCTTTCCTATTTCTCCTGGGAGGACGAGACACCAGGCAAAGCATTAATACCCAAAGAATGTTCCCCAGAACCTGGAAGGCTCAGTGGAGGACACTTCTCATTGGATTATTTATCCTGTGTAAGTGAAGGTGTTCCAGGAATTATTATGAGGTTGATAGTCTGGCTTTCTTTTGTACAAGTCTTCCGTACCTAAGGGAGGCCAGGAACTCACCATCTCCTGGTTTCTGGTCCAGCAACTTTACAGCTAGACTGAACTGTCTCTCTTCAAAAGAACACTAGGGCTGTTCCCAACCTTAGAAAAGGAAAGCTTGGGAGAGTTCTCTGTGCCCTGTGTTTTTGCCATGGTTTCATAGGTTCTCCCCCCCCTGCCCATGGTCAGCATGTGGGAATGGAGCATCTTTCTCTGAAACCATCCTTCCCTTTCTTTCCTTCTCAGTCTGCGGCTCGGATGCCCAAGTCACCCAAACACCTCAAGACCTGGAAGCTCAAGAAGGAGGTCCTTTCTCTCTGAAGTGCAGCTACTCTACCCAATATAGTTACTACTTTTGGTACCACCAGATACCTGGAGCACGGCCACTGCTAATCCTATCTATAAGTTCCCAAGGCAACATCTCCAAGAATGGCTTCATGGCAGATTATCTGCCAAATGGGAAAGAAAGCAACCTGTTTCGCCCTAGAGCTCAGCTTCAGGACGTAGGAGACTACTTCTGTGCTGTGGAGGCACAGTGCTGCAGGAGGTGGGGA